CCTGCTTGCTGGGTTGCGGGGAGCAGTCGAGGTGCTGGAGGTATCCCATTGCCTGCTGCGATGGTTATCGTCGTAGCTGCTCTGCCCCCCAGTCTGTGATTGGGTCAGAGCCTTGGAGTCTGGTCCAGGAAGTCATGGCTGCCAACCCGCTCCATACCCCCGTCCCATGGCTGACCCTTGTCCCCTCCTCAGCCTACTGTGGAGTGCAGGGGGGACAGTTCTCAACTGAACCTCCTCCCTCTCAACCACATCTCCAGCCTGGAGTAGTGTCAGTCCAGAACCTGCCACCACCACCACCACCACCGACCCCACAGTTCTGCAGGCCATGGTTCCCCCTGCGTGAAGGCAGCCCCAAGACCACTCTTGGGCTTCATGTGCCTGGTGGCCAGTCCATCCCCTCAGGGCGGCTCTGGCCACATCCACCCCAGGACTTCCTCCAACCTTCCTCAGGCCTGCTGGTCCCCCACATTCAAGACCTGTCTCTCCTCTTGCCTCTTCTCCCATTCCCTGGGGTACAGCAACGGGGGTACAGCAGGAGACCTGTGGGGTCAGGGTGCCCTCACAGTCATCTCCCACTTGGGTCCCTCTTAGTGGGCTCCCACCTTACTGGCGCTGGTCTCCTGTCTCTCTCTCTGTCTGTCCCTCCCTCTCTCTCACTTGGCTTCTCCTTTCTCTCCTGCTCTGTCTCTGGCAGACCCAGAATGTCCTGTACGACCTCATGTCCGAGCTGCACGCCCAGCACGAGGAGCTTGAGGCCCGCCTGGCTGCCCTCGAGAGCCGCCTGGATGCGCTGGGCGCCTCCCTGCAGGCCCTGCCCGGCCTCATCGCCCAAGCCATACGCCCGCCCCCGCCACCCCTGCCGCCCCGGCCTGGCCCCGGACCCCTGGACCAGGCAGCCCGGAGCCCCCCATGCCAGTGGCCACCTGTGGCCCCTTCAGACTGCGGGTGACTAACCCTGCCCACCACCAGACCCCTCAATCTTGGCCATCGTGTGGCCGCCACCTCCACGCCATCCAGGAAGCCCTGTACAGTGGCGCCTCTTGGAGTTCAAGGAGCCGAAGCTGAGTTGGGCTGAGTGGACCAGGGCTCTCCCCACCCAGACTGTCTGGGCAGAAGACAGGGCCGGACCACAGGCAAGGGCAGGGGTGGGCCACCGCCCGCTTCCTCCCTGATTGGAGCCGGGGCGGGGGGCAACCAGGAGCTTCCTTTTGGTCCCCTGGCCCCCCAACTCTCCCCAGGCCCCCGGTGGGCATGGAGCAACCAGGAGAGGGGTCCTTGCCAGTTCTGAATAAAGCAGGACCCACCCAGCTGCTGCCTGGTTTTGCATGGCTATGGGACACATGGCTATGGGTCATCACAGCATGGGAGGTGGCCACTCAACTCCAGGGCCCAGAACGATGTGGGGATCCAGCCGAGCCAGTCCCATCACTGTTCTAGCCCGGTAGCCCTCCTAAGCCTGAGCTCAGCTGGGTACACCTCCTGAGGACATCAGCATCAGTTCCCGCTGGCAGTGACGGCCCCGGCCGGCAGGAGGCAGCAGATCGGGGAGACCTCCTCCCCATCCCAGCAGCCAATTTTGCCAGAACACCTGGTGTGCGCCAAGCTCCAGTGGGACCATGGTCCAATGGGGAAGGTGACATGAGTGAGGAGGACCATTCAGTCTTCGCTGGATGTATGTTGAACATTTGCCCGATACAGGGGACATAGTGTAAATTGCCATACTTCACCAGAACCTAACCAGGGGAGGATGGGGAAACTGGGGGTTGGAGAAGTGAAGCCACCTGCCCGGGGCTCCAGAAAGGGGCAGGAGTTGGGGGAGAGGCAGGGCAGGATTCAAACTCCAGCCAAAGTGAAGAACCTGGGACGTGGGGGGAGAGTATAGTGTGATTCAGGGATTAGAGTGGCCTCAGAGCAGGCTGGAGGGGAAGGTTCTAGACACTAGCAGAATCAGAAAGGTCCCGCCAGGCCTCGGGCTCAGTGTGCTGGGGTGAGGCAGGGATGCCAGGTGCTTGGCAGCCGCAGGGTTCCAGGCATAACAGAGAGAGAGAAGCCTGGCTCCTGGGGAGGCTAGTCTGAGAGCCTCAGGCCCTGGCGGCCTCTGATATACAGCCATCAACCACCCAGCCTCAGGAGATAACCTGGGCGCAAGACCGAGAAGAGTGGGGAGGTGCCAGTGGGCTCCAGACCTGCGTGGGGAGTCCTGATTGCCACTGCTGGGTGCTTCTGGGCAGAGGCTGCCCCCTGTGAGGGCCTCGCTTTCCCCATCTGTAAGATCTGGTGAGGAGAACAGGGCACAGTGCCCACCTTTGGGGAGCACCTAGTCTGATGCAGGAGGAGGAACAAAAAACATAGCGGTCACAAACACAGCGACCAGAGCCATAGAGAAACAAGACCAGAGTATGATTAAGGGACTCTGAGGAAGTGACATTTGGGCATAGGGGTGGGGATGGGGAGATGGGAGAGCCGATGTGGGGAAGGGCGTTCCTCACGGGGTAACTGTCAGTGCAAAAGCCAAGAGGCCGGGCCTGAGCTTGGTGTGTGTGGAGAACAGCCACGGAGACCAGAGTGGGAGGCTGCGGCGGTGCCGGGGCCAAAGGTGCCGGATGGGGGACACATGAAACCGCCAGATAGCCGGGTGGCTGCTCGCTCTGGACCAGCCACATCGGCGTCTGAGTCAACAACGCCGACCCTACAAAAACGGCACGCCCCGCGCTGGGGGGCGGGGGGGTTGGGGGGTGGCAAAGTCAACAACACGGGCACGCGGGCGGCACGTCCCCGGCGGCCGGGGTGCGTCACGGGGGCGGACGTCCAGGACCAGGAAGTCGGCGGCAGACTCGCGGGCCGGGAGCCCTGGGCGCCCGCCCGAGTTGGCGGAGGCTAGAGGAGGCTCGGGGGCGCCCGGGGCCGCGGGGAAGGGCTCCGAGCCGCGGGGCCGGGGCCGGGCTCCCCGCCGGGGGCGCCTTCCCCGCTGTGCGCCCCGGCCTGCGCCATGCGCCCGGGGGGGCGTACGCAGCTTCGTGCTGGAGCTGGCCCGGGGCCCCGGCGGCGCGTACCGCGGCGGGGAGCGGCTGTGCGGCCGGGTACTGCTGGAGGCGGCGGCGCCGCTGCGGGTGAGAGCGCTCGAGGTGTCCGCACGCGGCGGGGCGACAACGCACTGGCTCGAGGGCCGAAGCGTGGGCGTCAACGCGGTGTCCAGCGACTACGCGGCTGCGGAGACGTACTTGCGGCGGCGGCAGCTGCTGCTCCGAGGTGAGCTGCTCGCTCCGCACTCCCCAACCGAGATCCCCCGGGGGCCCCTCTCCCCAGGTCCGGGCGCTCTTCTCCAGTGCCTGGAGAGTTTCGACTTAGAGGTTGTGTGGTCGGGTGACCCGTCTTAAAAAGTGGAGACCTCCTCCCCAGGGTCTGGACCCTCTCGCCAGGACACACCCACCTACCTCCGCCCCCAACCCTCTTTCCCAGGATCCCCTCTCAGGGTCTAGGCATCACCCCCCTTTCCAAAGCCGGGAAGCCCTCCGCGTAAAGACTATGCGGCTGGACCCCACCCCCATCCCCCCACCCCCCACCAGAGTCTGGAGAACCCCTGGGTAGAGTCAGGACATCCTCCTCTCTGGACCCTAGGACCCCCTTTATCTCCAGACTTGGGGTCCCTTATTTCCCAAAGACGACCCCCATCTCACGTTCTACCAGTGCCTCCTCCCTCCGTTTACCCCTAGGGCTTGCAAGGATGAGTTCAAACCTGGGTGGGGAGTTCGGGTGGTGTTTGCAGGCAGGTTTGCATTCCCAAGAGGCAAGAGACCTGGGATGGGGTCAGATCAGGCTGGGAGGACTCCCAGATGTCTCCCAGCTCTAAACTTCAGTCCCTCCCACTCAGGGCACACAGCGGGGTCAGAAGCAGGCCAGGGGTGAGTCTGTGCCTCGGCACTGAGCTGTGTTTGCTGGTGGAGGATGTTGCCACCCTCTCAGCTAAGCCAGACCTCACTATACTCTTCTGTAAAATGGGCAGAGGCAGAGCTGTACACAGTAGATCCTTTGCCCACAGCCTTTCAGCCTTAGCCCAACAGCCCCAGATGTGGGGACTGTCCCTACTAGCTGTGGAAACCCAGGCCTAGAGGGCCCTAGGACGGGACAGGAAGAGGCCCCAGAGGCACTTCCTTTCCCCTGAGACTTAAGGGAAATTGGTCACACCCCTGGTGCCACTCAACCAGCTGCTTCATTAAGACACTGGGGTGAAGCTTGCAGAACCGCCACATAAGGTCGGGTGAGGCCCTGCTCCTCTTTGGGTCCTGGGGACTCATCTGTGAAAAGGACTCACCACATCCTGCACCTTCTCCTGGGTTTACAGCCTCCAGGGCTTCACTTGGCCCTGGAAGAAGGTACTAGACTTTCATTTCAATCCCAGAGTTCCCTCCTCCATGCAGCCCCCCAGGCTGATGGTTGTGTCTACAGCCTCTGCCCCTCCCTTAGGTACGGCTCTGACCCAATGCCTCTGTGGTCACTCTGACTGCAGGGCACCATGTCCGATTATGACCGCCCCCCACTGGGGGTTCCGAGGCCTCAGGAGGTCAGACTCCACAAAGGTGACCTCGGGGGTAAGGGGTGGGTTCGAGCGGCTGAGCATCTCGCTGCCACCAGAGGGCGCAGGCGCCCTGCAGACCGCGACCAGGAAACCCTTCCCTCAGAAATGCTCTTTGAGGTTCTTGTCTGAGTACACTGAGGCCCAGACAGCAGTCATACCGTTTGGTGGGTGGCTCCTGGGGTTCATGGGAAGTCCCCTCACTTGGCTCTATCTGTGAAGGGATTGGGGCAGGGTGGGGGTGCCAGGAGAGGGCCCAAGGGCTGCGCCTACCGGGCGTGTAGGAGTTTGGGGGGGCCTCAAGTTGCGACGTGAACATCGGGTGATGGGAACAGCTTGGGCAGAAACGCTAAGCCGTGACCGAGTGGAGATATGTGGGGAATGGGCCGAAGACTTGGGAGCAAGACTCTCTAGAGGCGGAGGGTGTCCGAGCAGGGGCTACATCGTGATTCATGCACAATACTCTGAGGTCGGGCCGATTTTCTTCCAGCTCTACAAACGACAAAGGTGGAAACTTAGGCTCAAGAGGTTGTCACTAGCCCGGGGTCATCCAGCTGAGCGGGATTCGAATCACAAGAGGGGGCAGCAGGTGCCCAAGAAGAGGGAGGCCCTACCCACTTCCTCCTCCTGGCCGCATCGCTCAGAGTGGGGAATTGACGCTCAGTCTAGTCCGAGGCTCTCCGGCCCCGATTGGAGCCAGGCCATTCCGCAGCCTCCCCGCTCGGAGCTGGACATGCCTTGAGTCAGATCTGCAAGCTGTGGCCAGTTGATAATTAAACCTAGTGGCCCCATGCTCTTGCTGGGCCTGGGGCCCGCTCCCGGCCCTGTTTCCCCCTCTTTACCCCCGAGGTCCGCGAGAGACCGGCTCTGGTCCGCGATGCTTCAGTCTCACGCTAGGGTCCACGAGGGAAGAGGACAGATACAGAGTTTGTTATTTTGTTTCACGCCTGGGCGGAGCCACGCCCCCCGCCGCGCCATTGGCGTATTCCTTTCTGGGGGTAGGGCCCGCGTCGCGCCCCGCCCCTCCCGCCGTATAAAGGCAGCGCCGGCGCAGGCCGCGCAGGAATTTCTGACCTGTTCCGCAAGTGCGCCTGCGCACCCCGGGCAGGTTCGCGTTCTGAGACTGTAGCCTCCGCGCCTCGCGCCACCGCGTCGCGGGTTCGAGGCCAGGGTCTGTGCGTCGCGGGTTCGCATCCCAGGCGCGATGCTGTTCGACAAGGTGAAGGCTTTCGTGGTGCAGCTGGATGGCGCGAGCGGCGGCGCCGAGCCGGTTTTCAGCGGCGGCCAGGCCGTCGCCGGCCGGGTGTTGCTGGAGCTGGCGGGCCCGGCGCGCGTGGGCGCCCTGAAGCTGCGCGCGCGGGGCCGCGCCCACGTGCACTGGACCGAGTCGCGCAGCGCGGGCTCGAGCACCGCGTACACTCAGAGCTACAGCGAGCGCGTGGAGGTCGTGAGTCACCGTGCCACGCTGCTTGCGCCAGGTACGGGCCGGCTACCCCGACGCGGCACACGTGCTGCGCGCTCCTGGAACTCGGAGCTTACGCTGAGCCTCCCCCTCTTGCTCCTACCTGCAGACACGGGAGAGACCACGACGCTGCCTCCTGGGCGCCACGAGTTTCCATTCAGCTTCCAGCTGCCTCCGTAAGTCCGGCGTCTGGGGCACGGGATTGTCGGGGAATCCCTCAGCCTGCAGCTCCTCTCAGGTTTAGGTCTCCATTGCTCGGTTTCTGGGGACCCTCTGGACCCCAAGACTGCCATTCCCCGGGGGAGGGGGTCCTCAGTGTCTCTATCTCTCGCTCTCCAAAGTCTCTGGGACCACCCCCCCCCCAACCTGGGTGTCTGTTTTTCTGCCCCTTGAAGTACCTTCCTTCCACCCTGCAGGACACTGGTGACTTCATTCGAGGGTAAGCATGGCAGTGTCCGGTATTGCGTCAAGGCCACCTTGCACCGTCCCTGGGTCCCTGCCCGCCGGGCAAGGAAAGTATTTACGGTCATTGAGCCCGTGGACATCAACACACCCGCCCTGCTGGTGAGTGGCTGCTCCCAGGGGAGATAGGTTGAGAGACCTTTGCAGGTGGGGGAGGGGGGCAGGCTGGTAACTGGGTGACCCCAGTTGGCTCCTCACCCCTTCGCTTCCTGCACAAAGTGGGAATCACAGCTGGGCCCTGGCAGGAAGGGAAGCAGGCACGGGAATGCTTTTGGAGTCCAGTGGAGCTGGGTGCAGATCCCACCTGTGCCAGTTTGCTGTGTGGCTCTGGGCAAGTGTCTTACTCTCTCTGAGCCTCAAAGGCCTCATCTGTGAAATAGGGGACCGCCAGGGCTTGTGAAAATAATGGCTTTCTGAGGACTAATTACATGCTAAGTAATTAGCTTGTTCCCTTCATTTTCAACTTTATAAGATGGGTTTCATCTGTGGATTTATTTGTCCAGACGGTATTTGGTTGTTAAGAGAAAACCAGAAACTCTGCCCCCAAATCCTCCCTCAGCTGGGAATGGCTTGCACAAAGTGACCTGTTCCTTTCCCTTTCCTCCAACCCGCCAGGCCCCTCAGGCCGGAGCTCTAGAGAAGGTCGCCCGATCCTGGTACAGCAGCCGTGGTCTCGTCTCCCTCTCTGCCAAGATCGACCGAAAGGGTTACACCCCAGGTACCAGGCAGGCGGGGTGAGATGGCGAAGAGGGCCGACCTCAGGGCTGCAGACAGGGAGTCTGATGCCCCCTCTGCACCCCACCACAGGCGAGGTCATCCCAGTTTTCGCGGAGATCGACAATGGGTCCACACGCCCCGTGCTTCCTCGGGCAGCAGTGGTCCAGACGCAGACCTTCATGGCTCGGGGCGCCCACAAGCAGAAACGAGCAGTGGTGGCCAGTCTCGTGGGCGAGCCTGTGGGCCCTGGGCGGCGGGCGCTGTGGCAGGGCCGGGCGCTGCGTATCCCCCCTGTGGGTCCTTCCATCTTGCACTGCCGGGTCCTGCACGTAGACTACTCCCTCAAGGTAGAGTGTCCCGTTGGTCCGAGGAGGGCAAGGGGTGGCTGAATCCACCCGGTCCCCCAGACCAGAGTTCCCCTGAGGCTGTCCGGGCGCCCTCCCGCATGGCTTGTTCCCCACCTCCCCAGGTCTGCGTGGACATCCCCGGCACATCCAAGTTGCTCCTGGAGCTACCACTGGTCATCGGCACCATCCCCCTGCACCCTTTTGGGAGCCGCTCATCCAGTGTGGGCAGCCATGCCAGCTTCCTGCTGGACTGGGGGCTGGGAGCCCTGCCAGAGCGCCCTGAGGGTGAGCCCCTCCCCGCCCCCCATCCTGCTGCAGGGGGGCTGGGTGGGCAGAAAGGTGGCTGCTAGGGGGGCTCTCCCTCCCCCAGCCTCAGCGGCCCCACCTGTTAAAGGGCACAATAGTGATCATGCTGGTGGCCACAGGTCTCCCCAGAATCTCAGCCTGGGGACCCGCAGCCCACTAGCCCCAGAATTGGCACAAGCCAGTTCCCGGCCATGGTCCCCGATTCCAGGGCTCCCCTCCTCCACCAGCCTCACCCAACCCCGTCTGTCTTTCTTGCAGCCCCTCCCGAGTACTCAGAGGTGATGTCTGACAGGGAGGTGGCGGCCGCGGGGCAGAGCACCTTTCCGCCACTGCAGGACACCAACCTGAGCCTCGAAGGCCCCTTCTTCGCCTACATCCAGGAATTCCGCTTCCGCCCGCCACCCCTGTACTCCGAGGTGAGTGTGGGGGTCCAAGAAGCCCCTGTCCCTTTCCAGGCCCTGGGAGCACAGGTGGGAGTGGGACTCGGATGAGTTTGGGGCCTGAGGCCGCCTTGCACCCCAGTCTGCTCTGCACGTTGCCCTCCCCTGCCCCCCCGGCTGAGTGTGGGAGTTGGGGAGCTGGAGATCAGCAGGGCAGTGGAGGGGTGTTTCTGAGCCTCCGGTGCCCTTCTGAGACTGGATGGGACTATTTCTCTCAGGAGGACCCAAACCCCCCCTCAGAGGCCATGAGGCCACGCTGCATGACCTGCTGAACAGCGAGGGGAGACCTCGAGGGATGAGGTCGCACACGCGCTTCCGGCCACCGTGGACGTGGGCAATGCTGGGTCAAGAGCTGACCAACCAGCTTCAGCTTGACTGCGTTGAAGTTGGGGACTCCGAGCCTCAGAATGGGCACGGCTTTCTGACATCACGCAGGACAGAGGAAGAGCTGGGCAGGAGTCTGATGTGTCTGGACCAGTCCTCGTGAGGCATTAAGTGCCCATCGATGGATCCTGTCAGTCCACACCGGCCCATGGATAGGGCTCGGGTCCCCCAGGAGCCTCTAGTCTGGGAGAGCTGTAGCCAGACATAAATACTTCCAGTCTCGTGGGACCGGAGGAAGAGACCCACGGCTGGGAGAGTCCTGAAGGGAGCAGAGAAGGCTTCCTGTAGCAAAGGGCCTTCTGGCTGAGGCTTTGGCATACAAACAACCGCTCAGCAGGCAGACAGGCAAAGAGGAAGACGTCGGAGAAGGTCAGAGCTGAGTGATGTTTGGAGATCGCCCCCTTTGGGGCTTAGAGGGTGAGTGCCTCAGTTGAGGCCACATGGCAAGGTCCGGCAGGCGAGAGGGCCCAGGAACAGGGCATTCGGAGATGCGTGTTGTCGAAGCAATGTGGGACCTAGGTGGGGCAGGGACACTGGCTCCAGCCTTTGAAAGCCAGAGAGAGATTGCTGGCCCAGGCCGGGACTGCCTGGGGACTCCTCCAAGTACTCCAGGACATGAGACCTCGTCTGCATATTGTATGACCCCGGGAAACCTGGTTCAGAACATTCAGCCGGGCCCTGGGGACAGAGGTCAGCCTGGGGTAACAGCAGGCCCAGTGCAGCTCTGGGAGAGACCTCCTGGAGGGAGGGAGGGACAAAGTATGAGGGGGGCAGCTGGACCAACCCCCTACCCCCGGGTTGCAGATTCTCAGCCCTGGCTGGGGCAGGGCCCCCGCCTGGGACTCAACATTTCTGATAAGCCTTAAATTGTTCCCTTTTTTTTGGGTTTTTTGGGTGTTTTTTTTTTTTAATAAAAGTGTGGGGAAAGAGACTACGCTTCTTGCCTTATTTCCTACAGCTGCCAAAGACGAAGCCAAGTGGCTTTGGCTTCCACCCTGGTCAGAATCTCCGGGATTGAATGCCAAGCTAAGGGAGAGGGTTTTGAGAGGGCCCATTGTCCAGGAGGAGAAACTGAGGTTCCAGGACACATAGGAAGGCTGAGCTCAGGTTGGAGCCGGACCCCATTCCCCTTCCCTGGTGTAGTCACAGAGGCTGGGAGTGTGAATGGGGGAAGGCTTTTGTTTTCAAGACAGTTCGTATACCGTGAAATAAGCCACGTGAAAGTGTACCATTTGGTGGCACTTTGTGCATTGACATTGTCAGCCACCTGTCACCTCCATGTAGCTCCAGGACATTCCCATCACCCCGGGGGATGGCCCATCCCCAGGAGCAGTCTCTACCCACCCCACCCCCCTCACTCCTGGTACCCACTGATCTGTGGATTTGCCTTTTCTGGACATTTCCTGTACGTGGGATCATGCTCCCTGTGTCCTCATTTGTGTCTGGCTTTCTGCTCAACTGAAAGCTTCATCCAATGTTTCATTCCTTTTCATGGCCAAATAATATTCAGTTGTGTGGACGGACTCCCACTCTGATTGTCCCTTCACCCCCTTGATAGGCATTTGGGTCATTACCACCTTTTGGTGAATGTGAATAGGGCTGCGGGGGACATGGGTGTCCAAGGATTCGTTTGAAGACACACTGGGCTTCCAGGCAGCCCTGGCGACACGGAGGTCGCGTCTTCTGGAGATGAAAGGAGGGAAAGGGAGTCCAACAGAGTGAGGTGACTCGTGCAGGCTCTGGAGTCGCCACTCAGAACACGCACACCTTACAGATCAGGGCGCTCCCTGCCGGGTAGGGGCCCTCGGCCCCGCCCCAGACTCGAGGCCCCGCCCCAGACCTGAGGCCCCACCTTCCTTGGGGCGGGGCCAAGTTAGAAGCCCATCCAATGGCTCTAACTGGGCTCACAGTTTGTCCAAGGCAGTGAAAATTAAGTGGCGGTCTGGGATGACCATTGGCAGGGCTGAGGCACAGGGATGAGGATGGGGGGACCCCAAGGTTGGACACTAGCAGGTATGGGTTCAGGTTTAGCTCTCTGAGTGACCACGGGCAAGTCACTTGCTTCTGAGCCAGTTTCCTCATCTGGGACTCCCGGCACCTCTCTGCCACCGCCTCAAATGCCTCCCATCCCTGGTCTGAATTTGAGTCCTGATTTCCACCTGCTTCTGGTCCTGGGGTTTACCCAGCCCTCCCTGTCAGGCACCATCTGCCCTGGCATCTAGTTCAGAGCTTGTCAGACTGGGGGTTCCTCTGGGCCCAGCACAGGGGAGATAGACCCACATGGCACAGTCACCCCAGACCCCCAACATAGCAGCCTCGGGAAGGGGCAGGTTCCCTGTCACCGTGGGTGTGCAGGACACAACACCCCAGCTTCCGGGTCCATGTTCCCAAACTGAGAAGAGTCGAAGACATCCTATCACAACTGCAGATGGGGGTACATAGGAAAAGTTTCTCCCCAGCAGGCTTGGTCAGACAAGCCACCCTGTGTCCCCAGGACTCCTGCATCTGCAACTGTCTGGAACCTGATCTCTAGAAGAAGTGGATTATATGGTTCAGATAAATTAAAACCAGAATGGAGCAGGCTTGGGTCATCCAGAATTCAGGGAACTCCCTGAACACAGAGTGAGGCCCATAGGGTATCGAAGAGGTTGGTCAAATATTCTTCTCCTAAAATAAAATCCTATCCCTCTCTAGGCCCCTAAGATCTCTCACCACCTCTTACACACCTCTCCTAACAGCTTCCCCTGAGTGGTAGTCAGGATCCCTGACTGCCACTCAGATACTCCAAGCTGGCTCCTACCTCAGGACCTTTGTACATGTGGTTCCCTCTGCTGAAAGGCTTTTCTCTAGGACTGGCTCCTCTCTGTCTCCTAGCCTCATCTTTTCAGGAAAACAGCCCAACCTCCTGGCTAAAGGTGCCACTGCCCGCTACTCCCTCTCCCATCCCCCTGTCCTATAGTCTTCATAGCCCTCATCGCTCTCTGGAATTTTTTATTTAGATATTCACTTGTTTGTCTGAAGCTTTGAGGGCAGGGTTAGAGAGGGCTGTGTCTCTGGCCCCAGCACCCAGCAGGCATGAGAGGCATGAAGGGGGTTGTTGATTAGAGGAGACTCCTTGCCCCCCGTAGTGTGGACCAAGATTCCGATGGGGATGGGAGTATTACCACCTTACATTGTTCCCAGGACCACCTAGAATCAGAACTTGTCACTCATTCGGAGAGTGAAATACCAGGTCTCCTCTCTGACTCACTCTCCTTATCACCGCCCCATCTTGCTCTGCCTCTCCATGTGTTTTTTTGCACTGTCCCTTTTGTTCGCTGTCTCTGTCTCTCATTGTCTCTGTCTCTGATTCACCATCTCTGCATCTCTCTCTCATTATTTCTTTGTCTCTGTCTCTCCCTCACCATCTCCTTGGTTATCTCTCAGGCTCTCTCAGTCTCTGACACCTTCAGCAACTCTGTCTCCTCCCCTGGCCTGGCCCGGCCCCTGGGCCACAGGGTGACAGGCAGGCAGGGCGCCCTCCGCTTGTTTTCCGCCCTCACTGGCAGGGGGCCCAGCTGGGCTGCTGTTCAGGAATCTTCCAGCTGCCCGGCTCCAGCCACCAGGCATAGCCGCTGGCCTCTCCTCCCAGCACATTCTGTCCCGGGCAGGGAGCACTGGGGGGGGGGGGGGGGGGAAGTGGAGGGTTCCTGTCAGGCTCCGGTTACAGGACAGCCCGTTCTGGTGGCCTTGCTCCCCACCAGTGCTGCCCCCTTGCTGCCTCTCCTCCCTACTTTGGGCTTAGATCTTCCTGAATGGGGCCCCTCTGTCAGCTCATCCCTACCTCCGGGGCTTTGCACATGCTCTGCCTTCTACCTGGAGCTCCCTCTCCTCAGCTGTGCCCAGGACCTTCTCCCTGGCAGCCTTCAGATCACAAATCACCTCTTCAGGATGTCCTCTGTGTCTCTGGGCCAAAACACGCTGCAGTTCCCCTACTTCTGTCCTGATGCCTTTTGCTTCCTGGTCTTTCCCCTTCCTCAGAATTCTATATTTACTTGTTTGTTGGTGTGGTGTCAGTCACCCCATTGCCCTGCTCTATCCTCAGCCTTGGGCGTGCACTAGATGCTCAGTGAATATTTTAGAGTTCGTGCCATTTTACCCCCAAAGCTCAGCTCTACCTTAGCCCCCAGGCTCCCACACACAGCTCCCATCCCTTCAGCCGACTGACCAACCCCCTCCCAAACCTGCGGCCTCGCATTCCCTGCGCACACCTCCTGCCGCTGTCCCCTGCACCCCCAACACACCAGCCATCTCCCAGCCCTCCCATCTCTTCCCAGGGAGTTCCCCCACCTAGCTGCACCTTTTCCAGTGAGGGGCTGGGTCTCTCTGTCTGGGGCTTGGCGCACACACACACACACACACACACACACAGGCATGCACAGAAATGCATGCATACACGGGAAACACACAGGCCCACGGACTCGGGGGCACACAGCCTGGACCTCGATGAGCATAGACCCGCGTGCACATGTATGCACGCACACATAAAGCAGGTGCAACAGTACTGACACTGGGCGCCCACGGCTCGAGGGGGAGGGCGTGCAGGCTGTTCATGTGTGGAGTCCCCCAGCTCTGCCAGGAAGCAGGCAAGACGCCCTCCATCTCACACGTGGGTGCAGGATGGGGACTTTGAACCCATGCCAGGGTGTGCACAGGCTTGTCCATAGGCGTGCCTCTGCCCTCGCTTCCCCACCTCATTTCTGATGGTCAAGGCCAGGAAAGTCCCCAGAAAGCACAGGCCGGGCAAGGGGCCCAGGAGGAAGAAGTGACTCAGCCAGTGTCCATCTGGGCCTGCATAGCTGGGAGACCCTTTGTGGGGGTGGGGGGGGGGGGGGATGGAAGGGAGAGTTGGGGGATTCACAGAGAACAATAAAGGAATGGGGGGCGGGGACACGGTAAACAGGGCCTGCTGAGCAGGATGGGGGAGGGGAGGGATGGGGCATGCCTCAGTGGGTCCGCAGGGCTCCAATACCTCCCCTCTGCTGAGCCCGATTCACAGGTGGGGAAACTGAGGCACAGAGAACAGGTGACTTGCCCAAGACCCTCCAGCCAGGATGGGGCAGGCAGAGGACCCCTTAGTCCTTGGTCAAAAGTTTCTACGGTTTTGTAGCTGTTCTCCCCGCCTGCCTTCTGGCAAAAGGAGCCAGGTCCCTTCCTTGCTCCAGATGTGGACATGTGACCAGGTCTGGCCAGTTAAAGCCTTTTGTGACCACAGACTCAGGGATTGGTTCAGGAATAGTGACTCTGAGTGGGCAAATCACCCTGGGAGTTTGGGGGCTTCTGAAGGTGAGAATGGGCGCCATCTTTGCTACCCTAAGGAGGGGCAGAACAGAGAGTCCCCAGGTCATTGTGATGAAATCTACAAACACCCCTAGCCCTGTGGAGTGAGGTAGAGCCTGAGGGTAGGGTGAGGGCAGGAGAGCCCTGGGAGGGCTTCCAGGAGCAGAGGAGCCTGGAGTTGGGGCTTTGATGGATGAAGAGGAGTTCGCCAGGGAGCTAGAGAAGGGCATTCCAAGCAGAGGGAATAGCCTGTGCCACCACAGCAGGCCAGAGAGGGCCCGGTGTGTCCTCAGCCATGCCGGCGGCCCTGGGGGGCTGGAGCATAGAGAGGGCAGCTGTAATGTGTGGGATTCTCTGCTCCCAGGCACCCCCATCAGCCGCTTAAGGGCGAGACCAAGTCTTTGCTGGCAGCTTTGTTGGAACCTGATGTTTCTTTAATGTTTGTAGTGTAGGTGGCCCTTCTTTGGGGACACGGATGAGAGACATGGGTGGGTAGTGAATGGGAGAATTGGGTTCACAGGGCAGGAGAGCCTGGGGCTGGGTTAGGATGGCCCCAGGAAC